GAGCCACTCGGAGAATGCGGCGGACTTGGTTCCTCGGTCGCGAACAAACTTCCCATGGCCCGCTGTCCGTTAGGAGTCCGGGAATGGAGTGTCCACTTGAACACAGTGTGCTCTCCGTCCCAGTGAAACAAACACAAGCGGCTCGACTTTAATTGTAGCTTCATTTGTGTGTGAAGTTCTGAAATATGCAGAACTGTTCCTGGGTCCGAGAAGTCGTACTGTAAATTGATTCTTAAAAAACTGTCTTGAATCCCATTGATTTGAGTTTAGACGGGAGAAAAGAAGTGTTGTAATAAATAAAGCTCGCAGTGGGGTGGGCAGCGGAAGGCCACTGTTACGTGCCCTGAGGGATTCTTTTCTTGGGGCTTTTTGATCATCAGACCTTTCATTTTCAAAGGAAAAAAATAACCATAGCCCAACGCTACTGGCAGTTTCCTCTCTCTATATGGCAAGAACCAACCTCTGTGATGCTCTGCAAGGAAGTGTTAAATCCTAGATCGTTCATAAACCTTTTGAGTACCTACTGTGTGCCAAGTACCAGAGAAACAGCATGAATAAGACAGAGTCTATAACCCCCAAACCCAGTGCCTGGCAAGGTGCCGGCATATCGTAGGTGCTTGATAAAAATTGTTGAATGAATGAGCGTAATAACTGATCATTAATAGCTTGCCATCACGGCATTCTGATGAAGGCTGTAACACTCGATTACATTTGGGATCACCTGTCCTAGAAGTGACCAGCCAGCCAGGTCTCAGGCTAGGAGGAAACCATGGAGGTGGTTTGGCTTATGTGGCACTAGAGCCGTGGTCTAGTGTGGTAGCTGAGACTCTTTCGGGGTCAGAATTCTGTCTCTACCTCTTACTAGTCATGAGACCTAGGCAAGTTACCCAACCCTGCGTGGCCTCAGTATTCCCATCAGTAAAGTGGGGACAGTAGTGCAGAGCACAAGTACTCTCTAAACGCTAGCTGCCACCACTGTCTGGGCGCTGGTTACTCAACCTTCTCTGAGGCCACTGTTTCTAGGACACACGTGGGATAAATATTCTAATGCTTATGTGAGTATATTCCGGGCCCTTCCTTTGCCTCCCAGGCAACATGGGAGTTCCTCATTATTGTCATTTGGATGTGACTAGTCCTGTAATCAGTTGTGGTCCCTAGAAACCAAAAGGCTCTCCGTGGCCTGAACCTGAGAAGGGGCACAGTGGGGCCCAGCTTCTAGGGAGTGTCTGTACCTTCACCCAACACCAGCACCGGGCACGTTCCACAGCTCTCATTGTAAATGTCATGCTATCTTTGGACGCACATGGAGCCAGGTTGTGTGGGAATTACTTATTCTGCAATCGGATTCTTAAGAATTAGAAGGCATAAAGTATGATTTGTCTCCCTCTTCCCCATGGGGAGGGGTGGAAACCTTATTAGAATGCAGATTCCTGGGCCTTAACCCCCATCTCCCCTCCTTCTGATTCAACCAATCTGGGACGAAGCCAAGGACATGCCCAGAAATCGACCTTTATAACAAGCAATCTGACGGAGGAAGTGAGTAGAGCGCACGTCGAGAAACTCTAGGTTTTGGAGCGTGACATGAGGATCTGGGGGGACTTCAATCTGTTCTTCGTCTCTCTTGACTCTTATTTCCATCTTTCAGCAGATCACTGGGTCCCTTCTAGTCATCTGGCTCTTACTGGCCTCACAGGGGTGGGAGACAAAGTGCCGACCTGAGCGTCCCACCCAGGTGGGCAGGGGTGGGCTGTGACTCGGTGGTCTGTTTCCTCCTGGCAGGCGGTGGGGAGCTGGGCTTCAGCTCACGAGTTGGGCAGCGCCCGCCAGCCTCCAGTCTCATCTTGCCAACTTTCCATCAACGTGGCCCTGACCTTAGCCGAGTGACCGCAGTCACGGGAGGCTCAGAGAGGTTATCTGCAAAACGCAGGGACTTCCTTCCCCGTGGGAAGGATCCCTGGCACACCGCGCGTGCTCCAGCAGCGGCCGGATTGTTATCGTTCCCATAAAAAGCACACAAGGCCCCTTTGGCTTTTGTGGCCTGGGGAGCCAAAGCGGGTTCACGCGGCGCCCGCCCTGGGAAGTCACGGGCAGGGCTGGACCGGGCCCTGGCGGCTGCAGGCAAAGGCCCCGAGGTTGGGCCCCCCACGGTCAAAGCATTTTAAAGGCCTTGTATTAGAAAAATAAGCCAATTAAATAATACTGCCCCCTATAAAAGCAGACTTTTAATGGATTCCACGGTAGGGTTTTCACCGCGGCGGTGGCGCAGCCCTAGGCCTGGATGAGCCTGTCTGCCGCCATGGGGAGAATTTAATCTTGCACGGCGTGGGCATAATTTTACAAGTTTTATGGCTGTTTTTACTCCTCCGAAGTGTTGCTATGTCATTGTGCACCGAGGGCAACTTGCGTGCATTTAACAGTTTACCTCCTTTTTGGTGGAAATGAAAAATGAAGTAATAAATTAAAGAAAAACACAACGTAGAATTTTTCCCCCCCGCTCTTCTTGGGGCAACCATGGAGGAACAAAGAACCAGTGTTGCCGTGCGCGGCCTAATCAAACTCTAATGGCTTCTATGTATTGACGTTCCCTGCAGAGCCCTCCTCCCCGGGGAAGGCTGCGGGCGTGTGGGGGTGTTTGGACCTGGTACTGCTGACCCCAGGAACACTGGGGGCAGCTCTCCAGGGTCGGGGTCAGCAAACTACACCCCGAGGGCCAAGTCCAACCCTGCTGCCTTATTTTTGTTGAATGGCGGAGAAAAAACTCAAAAGAATAATATTTCCTGACACATGAAAATCAGATGAAATTCAGATTTCCCCGTCCATGCATGACGTTTTGTTGGCGCTCAGCCATGCCCATTTGTTGCCGTATCGTCTGTGGCCACTTTCACACTGCAGTGGCCCAGGCGAAGAGTTAACGACAGACATCCCGTGGTGCAAAGCCTAAATGCCATCTGGCCCTTTACGGAAGTCTGCTGACCCCTGCCCTAGGAAGTCAAGGGAAAGGAGAGAGAAGACGCGGCCTCAAGTTTCCTGGGAATGATGATTTACTTTCGGGGTTTCCACGGGGCTCAAAGTGACAAGTCAAAGGTGGATCACCTGGGAAGGATTTGATTCTCCTGGAGACCTTCCTCCGGGAGGAATCAGCTACTGTGGGGATGACTGTCCTCACTCTTCTGACCTCAGATTGACTTCTGAGCAGAGGGCCCTGGCTTCTCCCCCTCCGGCCAGCCCGCCCAGTCTTCTGAGCTGTACCCTGCTCCAGGTCTGGTAGCTTCTCCTCAGCCTACTTGGTAGCTCATGAGTCGGGAAGTTCCCCCCTTCCTTCCAGGGGCCAAGCAACTTGTGTCATAAATTGTTATGTGCAAACCTAGCGTACGATCTAGAATAGCTTCAGAAATTTATAACCAACACTTTGAAACTCTGGCTGTTTGCCAGGCACAGTTTTAAGGATTCTGCATATGGTAGTAACTCATTGAATCCTCACATCCAACCCAGGGAGTTAGATACTCTTCTCATTGCATCTTACAGATGAAGAAGCAGAGGCACAGAGAAGTTAGGTAGTTTGCCCAGGGTCACGCAGCTGGTATATGGTAGAGTCAGGATTCAAACCCAGCTGTCTGCTGCAGGGAATGTTCTGCTGTCTACTCTTCTGCCACTACAGAGCGGATGAATTCTTTAGGTTTATGAAAGGATCTGTATTTCTTGTTCCAGTCATGTTCCCATCACATTGGTCATTGAGAAAACTACCTCCTGTTTGAGAAGAAAGCACTTGTTCATTCATTCCTCTCCTATCCTGCCCCCTTTCCCTCTGGCCTTCCTCCCTCCTTCTCTCCTTCCTTCCTTCCTTCTTTCCTCCCTCCTTCCCTCCCTCCCTCTCTCCTTCCTTCCTTCCTCCCTC